GTTTGATGTAGCTGTATTGCCTAGGCGATCGTCATTCAACAAGATGCGTGTTTACATGAATGACAAGCCCCACAAGTGGGGCACTAAGCTCTTTGTGCTGTGCAATGCTGTTACGGCTTACTGGATTCGGTAAAATTTGTTTTGGTTGTAAAGTCTTCCAAAACTGAATAATGCACCTTACACTGACTAATTATGTTTTGCTTATGCTGCATATTTACAGCTTTGCAGTCTATTGCGGCAAAAACAGCATCTAAGCGATGCCCACCAGCCCGATATCAAGTCCGGGCCAGCCGCAGTAGTGCGCAACTTGCTAGAAATGTTTGGGCCTGACGCCAAAAAGGAAGGAATGAGGCTCGTGGTAATTGATCGTTTCTACACTTCTGTGACGCTAGCTATCCAGCTGCTTCTAATGGGGCTTCTATTGCGTTGGTACGATCATGACGAATCGTCTTGGGTACTGAAAGCAAGTGGTTGAGAAAAAGAAGACTCGTCCAGCTACGATTCAGCGTGGATCATTCAAAATCGCACGCTCAAAGCTCGTTCCGAGTATGAAGGCGATTAGCTGGTGGGACTCGAGACCGGTACATTTCGTGTGTACTGGTGGTAGCCGTGAGATCGACCGGGTGGTGCGGCAAGATGGGGCAGAGCAGATTGAGGTACCCTGTCCTCGTGTGGTGAAGGATTACCACGCTTTCATGTGTGTGTGTGTGTGTGTGTGTGTGTGTGTGTGTGTGTGTGTGTGTGTGTGTGTGTGTGTGTGTGTGTGTAGTATGTCCACGACCAGTTGCGACTGCAGCGCTACTCACTGCAGCGTGCACTCCGCTTCAAGAAATATTACAAGTCATTAGTGCTGGGGTTGATTGATATGGCCATCGTCAATGGCTATATTGTTCACAAAGCTTACCACAAGAACAAAGAATCGCGTCCGCTCACGCACGTCAAGTATATGATCAAGCTCCACCTCCAGCTAAGTCAGCTCCAAGAGACAGATATGTATGAGGGGAACACATTCGATACGCAGCTTCCCGTCTCTTTACCCAACTACGAACCGCTTCCTATCGGTACTGCCCAGCAGACCGAGCACATGGCGCTCCGAAGCAATGAATGGCGGAATGAAGGCACACAGACCAAGCGTCGCCAGCGCGCGTGTAAAGTGTGCTCCTTTCTTCGATCCAAGAGCAAGCGTGCCTCCACCACGACGTACTTCTGCAAGGACTGCAACAAGGCGGGACCGATCTTCCTATGCATGCGAGCTCGACGCAATGGCCGTGGGGCTGCCATGAACTGTTGGGACATCTGGCGCAAGGAGTGGGTCAACGACAAATTGATTCCAGTGAGCAATGATAAATCTATTCGAGTGCGTAGAAAGGTGAGTGCGACTGGGCCAGGCACTCCATCGACATCTGATACTCCAAATTCAAGCAAGAGACGTCGCACCAGCCCTTAAGCATTAAGATGCATATCATTCTGTCTGTATTGCTGCATATGTGCAGGGTAGTTGAAAGTGAATCTGTTAGTACTTGAGTGCCTTTCTGCATTGTGGCTTGAGCTTGTACACGCCTTGTCTGGCGCGTCCTGATCTGCATCATAGCGGACTGTTTTCGCGGGTTTGCAGCACCGGATAGTTTTTGTCGACTGATAGGATCACTGCATTATTGTATAGTGCATAGAATACAACCGGACAAGTCAGAAGTTTGCAAAATATTTAGGGGTGACACCCCGGCTTTTCATATAAAGTTTTGTATGGGAAG